CCCACCACAGCTCCAGTCGCTGATGCTCGTCTCTGCAGACGTCAGCAGCAGCAGCAGCAGCAGCAGCAGCAGCAGCAGCATCCGGAGGAACCCGCTGCCGTGACTTACAGCCTGGCTGTCGCTTCTCCGCTGCCTCGATCACACCACCGTACAAAGGCAATTAGACACTATTAAAGGGGCAGTTCAATTAATTCACTGATTTGGTTTTCTGTTCTTGCTTAAAAATTATATTAAATTACTTCATTCCTTAGTTTTTTTGTCTGCTGCTTTTTTGAGTTTGATTGATATCTTATTACTGTGTTAACTGCATTATAATTGGTCACTTTTAATGATAAATTTTATTTTAATTTGTAATTAAATTTGTATATGAATTTTTGTAATACCTATGTTTTTCTTTTTTTTTTTAATTATATTTTGTGTCTATTTTATAATAATAATAATAATAATTTATAATATTAGTCTTTTCTTTTCTTGTTATTTGTGTGTGAAATATTTTTTTTTATGCAGACAAATGACTAACTCTCATAAGGACAACAGTTGTGTTTGTGGCTGCAGGTGGCGCTCCACCATGTTTGATAATTAGATGTGGTTCAGAGATACAGACGTCATCCTGTTGTAAACGTGCAGCATGATAAACAACTGCACTTATCAGATGTGGTAATTTTTTAAATATTTATAAAGATATGAACATATATATATTGACCCAGTTTTCACAGCTGCGTTCTGTCGTCTTCCTGCGGTGCCTTATGTTTAACCACAGATGATAACACAGATGCCGTCCAAATATAATCCAGCCTTTTTGCACCTTTGTACCCCCCCCTCCTCACCCACACACCTGCCACCCCCCCATGTACTACTCCATAGAGTGAATACCACATGGCTGTACTGTAGTATTGTACGACACAGACATGCAGTACTGTGTAGTACCTGTCATGACAGAAGTTGTACCCACTGTACACTGTCTCTGCGCGGTGTTTTTTTTTGTCCTGGAAATGTACTTCCTGTTTGTCATTAAAAACTTTTCACTTTTCTTGTCTCACAAACAAACGCAGTACCAGCGCGTACCTGCAACTCGTACGAAGTCCTGGAAAATGTACTTCCTGTTTGTCATTAAAAACTTTTCACTTTTCTTGTCTCACAAACAAACGCAGTACCAGCGCGTACCTGCAACTCGTACGTTTAATCCTCACTTCACTAATTCCTGAACATTTTCTTTGTTCGCCAAATCATGAAAAACAGAACAATTAAATCCTCTTCCTCTAGGTGGCAGCAGATGGCTTTGAAAACTAAAAAAAAAAAAAAACGGAAAACTAATCAGAGCTGTTGAAGAAGAAGATCTTTGTGAATCTTTCTTCAATTCCTGCCAGTATATCAGCGGTGTCTTCAACTAAACAGGATGAGATTTTAGTCGATTCTGAGGTCATTTAAACCAGAAGATTATTATTATTTCATTACATATATTTTCTGTGACATTTTTGTCTGGTGGTTTGCCGTGGCTCAAAAAAGTTTTGGACAGTTTTACGCATTTATCGACTCAGAATCACGACGGCCTAAGATTCGTCGGGGGTTGGGGGGGCAGTGAACGTTAGCTGAGGTCTTAATGAGGCTGCATCTCTAAACGCTGACGCCCTCTAGAGGATCTCCACAGACTCCTCCGTGAAACAGGCCGAGAAAAAACGCCGCAATTATTCACCAACAAATGGTTCTGTGTCGGTGATGCTCGCTTCACGTCCGCTCATTAATTCAATAAACTGAAAAACCAACACGTGAACCGTGCGGTGGCAGCCTCGGATCTGCTGCCCTTCGTTTGCAGCAAGTGCAAAGGAAGTAGGTGTTAAAAAAAATATATATGTATATGAAAGGAAGATACCCCAGTTAGAGTAAAAGAGGAAACTGCCTCTCTTATTTTAAGACCACTCTACATTCTGCAGAAACGTGACAGAAACGGTTCCTGGAAGAGTCCGCAGCCAAGAAACAAAAAAAAACAAAACAAAAAAAAACACACAATGTTTCAGACTGAGAGGATTTGGCCAATCAGAGCACTTCATCAAACCATTTCAATTCTGTGGTGGAAAAACAAAAAGTACAATTTCTCCATCTGGAGTTTTCAACTTTCTCCTTCCACAGAGTGAATGAGACGTCGTTGTGTTTTTGTGTGTGTTTTTTTCTCCTGTGAATTCATCGTTGTGTTTTTGTGGGTGTGTGTGTGTGTGTTTTTTTCTCCTGTGAATTCAGAGGTGTGAAACACACACACACCTCTGAGTGATGTCAGTTTACTTCACCAACATTCACACACTCCTACCAACTGGGTCTCCCCCAGGAGGAGGTCAGGGAGCAGAGGTCACACCCACCAACACCAGGCCAGCAGGTTAACACACACACACACACACACACACCTACGACCCGCTCGTTCAGTCTGAGCGTCAGCATCTGTGTAAACGCCAACAAGTCGACTCCCTGCTGGGAGAGTGAGGGGGGGGGGAGTGGATCAGCTGTTTCTACTTGTTTGTTGTTCTTGGTAGAGCCATCCATCCATCCATCCATTAACCTGTCCATCCGTCCATCCATCCATCCATAATCCATCCATCCATCCATCCATTCATCCGTCCCTCCCTCCATCCATTCATCCGTCCATTCATCCACGCTCGTTCAGTCTGAGCGTCAGCATCTGTGTAAACGCCAACAAGTCGACTCCCTGCTGGGAGAGTGAAGCGGGGGGGGGGGG